CATGCATGTATTGAGAATTTCATTAAAGTGGGTGATGGAACTTCTCAGCTTCTTGTGATTGAGGTTCTTCTACCGTGGGGCTAGTTCAGTCCACTTGAGCACGGAACTTCAGAATCCCTGCGTAGAAATTGCTGGACGGAAGGAAGGACACGGCGCATGTTGAACAAGGAAGCTACTCCAGGTATCGGATCGTACTACTCTATATTCATTCAAGCGAATTTGAACGTGCTGAGCACCTAACGGCACGACAAAGTTGGTCACACTCTGCTTCGTCCCACCTTCACAGCTCGCCCCCGCAGGCCAGCAACCCTGAAGGTTGCTGGGATTTCTTTTCACTCCCCTCAAGAAAATTCCGGGAGTGTGCTTCAAATTAGGATAAGACATCGTTTTCATTTCATTAATATTTAATGATACGCCATGTATGATGAGTGTACGGAGAGAAGACTGGGTTTGTGAAGAAGCGAGCACCTTCTGCACAATGGTGTTCTGCATCAGTGGCTGGAGCTTTCATCTCTGTTCCCACGCCAGCTCACGGCGACACTGCTTGGAATGCTGGGTGTCTCGACCATCCATAAGAATGCAACCCCCAAGATGAGTGGTTCCTGGTTCGAGTCTCGATTAGGTCACTGTTTTGAAAATGTATAATGCTAAAAACAGGGCGTGTTCTCCCCCCCCCCCAGTTTCTTTATAAAAGGTNAACCAGGAAATGTTGTTCTGTGTGGTTGACATATAGCGTGCCTCCGTAGCATGTACGCCCTATATGTTAGTTCTGTACTTTATTTAACAACCTGTTACTAGCTCAGACTGTGTTAGGGCCGAGTGACAGTATGACTGTGAATGATCAATTGAAGCAGCTGTAGCCTAATTTTAAGTACTCCTTCCGCTCTCGCCTGGAGAGACTGAGAGAAACTACAAAAATTTTTAATCAGGAGAGTTGTGGTGTCCTGGTCGAAATTCGAACCAGTAACTCCCGGAATACAAGTCACAAGTGTAACCCCCCTTTGCGAACTTGAAACCCCTGAGTATACTGGATCATATTTCGTAAATTCTCTCAGTAGCTCCGGGGAAATATTATAAAAGCCCGATGTATTCGATCTCTGTCAGAGAATCTATCACACGTCTGGATTACCGGTTCCGTTTAACAAGTGCTTAATGGCGTGCATAATTCTTCTTGCAAATGAAGTTTCCTTAGTGAAGGACATGGAATAGGGCAGCGAATTGCGATTACTTTCGGCGTCTGCTACTCGATAGAGTGGATAAATAAATGAGGTTGCCGACCTGGTGGTCTCTTGGTATGAAGACAAGCAGAGCCTTGGTGAGAGCGAATTTTGTCGTCAAATCGTGCCCAAGGCATAGATGTTTGCTTGCGTTTTCCATCTTACATTATCTGACACATAACCTGCCACACCCCCTCATCTACTGCTGGGGCTGTGCTGCAGGCTAATCCCGCCTTCAGGCACAGCACTTCGTCGGACTTACAGGATTAATGTGACATGTAGACCCGTTGCTAGGTACCCACCACAATATAAACGAGACAACGGCCGTTGCTAGGCAGCGATCATCTAAGCTACAATTGAACTGAAACCGAGGAACGGTGTTTTCCGTGCGGTCCGTACAGAGATGTTACAAGGGTGCAATTAGTGAGAGTTAGTTAGGGCAGTGAAGTGCAGGGAAGTGAAGAGTCTGCTGGTAAGTTAGTGAGGTAGTCAGAGAACAATAGTTCAGTCTTTTTGAGCTGTTGAGGTTAGCAGCTGGTAGCTGAGGCACGGGGATAGTTCGGGAACCCAGACTATGTGGAACATCCGCCGTTGAATGCCGTTACCAGACAACGACTAGTGGAAACTGTAACAGACTGAGAACACTAGTGTGTGTAACAGTGAACTGTAGGGCGTAGTCACGTGTCGTGCGTTAAAAGTGTGCAATAAATCGAGTCAAAATCTAAACCACGTCTATAGTCACTCAATCACGTGTCGATAATTTAAAATGTGTACTCGCTATAATCGGGGGTACGCGGTAACGTAGTTGGTTGAGGGGCTATGCTACAAGCCGGAAGGTCGCGGGTTCAAGTCCTGATGAGGCCATTGGATTTTTCTTTAGTTGACCTAATCCTTCCAGCCGCACTAGGCCCTGGGGTTTACTCAGCCTCTAACAGAAATGAGTACCAGGTATTAATTAAATAATTTTCCTGGGGAGTAAACCGCGGCCGGCGCGTAAGGCTGACAACCTTACCGCCATCTTTGAGCCGATTGTCTCGATAGTGTGGGACCCTCAACGTCTCACAACTCTATGGGTCTTCACGGCCTGGTACAGGGATAGCTTTACTTTTACTTTTTTACTTACTCACTATAATCACTATAGGTCTTAAAGCTACATGTAATATTACCACTGACGCACAGAATTATTCAAGATGAGGAATACACTCTGCTACAGTCGCATGACGTAAGAATCCTGGGGAAGGTCGAGTGGCTTCAGGATGTCTGGGAAAGGGGGAATGGAGGGAGTAATGGCTCTGAGACAAAATCTGCCATGTTCCGCGAGAAAGAGAACACATTGCTGAAGAGTCTGGATGGGGAAGCTTCACGAGGGAAGATTTTAGAATAAAGTGGCGCGAAACAGGTTGTGAGAACGTGAACTGGATTGAAGTGGCTCAGGAGACACATCACAGTGTTTTAGCCGGAAAGGCTGAAGGAAAATTTACACCTCGTAAAAACATAGGTGCAGATAAGAGGATGACATTAAAATGGATCTTAAGGAAACGGAGACGTGTACTGGATTCGTTCTATTAGGGTAGGGTCAGCTGACAGGCTCTTGTGAACACGGCAGTGAACCTTAAGTTTCAGTTACAAGTAGATAATTTCTGAAGTAACTGAGCGACTGTTGTCTTAAGTCGAACTCTGTACCATTGAAGTGATTGAATTTATATAGGAAATAAATGTAAATAACACAAGATTCCGAAGTTTTTATTCTGATGACAATTTCTGAAGAACAGCTTTTATTCACAGAGCAACTGGAACTAAGAGACGCGACGCACTAATACAGAAGCAGTGTGTCCGTATGGAATGAAGCTCTAATCTGCAGTGATTCTATGGGCATCTTTAATAGCGAAGGATACTGCTATTAGGCTTGTATTTCGATTGCTTTTTCTTTAAACATGATATTTTCTCCCCGTTTTTCTACTCCGCACGGTCGTGATGAGCAACTTTATCTGATTCGTTTAATACGTAGTTCACACAGATGGCAATACTTGTTTTACAGATCTAGCCCCTCGACAGTGAAAGGTTCTAATTTCGATGGTAGATGGCGAAGCGTAGGCAGCACATAAATAGTTTCCATAGTTCCTTGTAGATGGCGGGATATCGCACTGCTGCGGTGTTAGTGAAACAATGACCCGCGTACCGGTAGTTGTCTGCGGCATCCAACACCGGATGGTAAACTGTAATTAGCGTTATATGTTAATCGTTTGACTGATTTGAAGAAAATGAAAACAAAAAGAAAAGTATGCCAGCCACTTCTTTTAGCGATTCATTAATTTGGTGGAAAAAAATGTACGTTCATAAATATACTTTTTGGTGGTGGAGGGAATATTGTTGTCCCGCTAAACCCACTTATGTAACCTATAACTTTATTGTTACATATCCATAATGTGTATATATTTACCGTCTTTTACTGCATACATTTTCACTTGTCACTTCACGCTACATGTTTCGGCATCATTCTGCCATCCTCAGGTGTATCAATGAATGATGCCGAAACATGTAGTGTGAAGTTGCAAGTGAAATTGTATGCACTAAAAGACGGTAAATATATATACACAATTACACATCATGGATACGAATCAACGAATCAGTGCAACAGTACACTAAAATACAACATTATTGTTACACATCCTAGACAACACTTGGAAATGCAGCCTCATTTTCATAAGCAGGTGATTTTTCCCTTGTCTTCACCTTCACAGGAGATGCTTATGAGACTTCAATATAAAATGTTCACTTGCTTAATATTCTAACAACTAACACTGTTGTAGCTGAACTTTAAAGATTGACACTGCAAATAGCAAACACCACTGAATATTCACTGAGTTAATAAAACATAAAAGAACAGGTCATGGAATGGAGCACGATAAACACTTAACTTGATTATTCTGATGTGTAAAGAAGGATATGGTGTGTGTCTTTTATTTTTGAAGGTTTGTGTAGTTCCGTAAACATCAATATATTTCTACTCTAAATTTGTTCTCACAAACAAAATCTTGCTACCTGTCATGAATATGCATTATTGTTGTCATTATGAGCTTCAACATAAGCAACAGGCCATCCACTCTTTCTTGAAATAAGATCCAGCAAACTAACCTATTTGTATCCATTATTAAAACAAGATATGAAGATATTTGATCATGTTAACAAAAGATTTAGTTAACTAGCCTGTTGCAGTTCATTCAGCCAGCTAGTTCTAATTTGATCTATTTATAAAGCTCTAATGATGTAACCTGTTTTGATCCCATCTTAAAGTAAGATCCAGTGATTTTCATTGTTTTAATCCATTTGTATCAGTCTGAATTAGTCTGTAGGAATCCATTCTTAAAGTATGTTTGCATCATCTGATTTTACTTTCCTGAATTCTCTGTGTGAAATTAAGAATACTGGTTCATTGCAGATTGTAACAATTCTCACTTGGTCACTTCAGAGTTTAGCTAAGTCCAAAATTCAAATGTCCTATCATGGAGCATGAAGCTGGCCACTCACCTCAAATTATTGCCAAGGTGAGGAAAACTTGGATCTATAAATTCACTCCCGCATTCTTCTTCATGGCATAGTGCTGAATTGGGTAGGCACAGTTATCTTTACCTTCACCTTCCCTATCATGGAGAACAGCAGGGAAGGCCAGTGTGTTATTCATTATAAATTTGTGGCATGTTAGTTGGATGTGTGACTTTTCAATTGTTTATGTTTTTGATGAATGCTATCAGAAGTATTTAAACACCAGGCAAACCTTGCTTTTCAGAAATATTTTATTATAAAAAGTTATTTTTACATTAAAATAAAATCCCCCTACATAGTTTCAGCCCTATACCTGTATATATCCTGGTTACTAATAATCAAGGTAACGTAGCATGAATATATGGACATCAGAAGAAAAGGAGAGAGCTGAATGAACAGAATTTGTTGAATACGAACCTACATGACAGCCCTTCACAATATGCAGCCTTGATGGTATTTTGTTTGTGGGGGGTTGTTACACTTATTTATAGAATTTTTCATGGAAGAACAAACTTAACAGAATTTATATTGGGTTCAGCATTGAGTGATTTTTATAACAAAAATCTAACCTCTGTTTTTTAAAAAAATATATATATAACAGCTTTTATATACAACTATATAATTTGTTTCACATATGTAATAAATTACAAACTAAGATCCTCTATTAGGTATAACTCTATGATAATGCAAAATATTCATATAAACACTTTGCAGGGTTCCTCATTCATTGATGCCAACACAGACAATACACTGTTTCAGGTTCCAACCCTTTGAATATGAGGAGGGTGTGAATACTTATATATCTTGAGAGACAAGCAAACTGCAGTTACAGACTCCATCATTTTCAGACACTATAACAGTAACTACCAGCAAAATGTTACTGTTTATAAACTTAAGCTGTTTTGGTAGGTGAACTAATTCTCAATTCAAATAACAAAATAGCCTAAATGTATACAATGTTCAGTTCAAAAAACACACTTCTTTTCATTGTGTGAAATAAGGTACACATTAATGATTAATACTATTATTTTATTTATTTGTATTTCATTTAATGGTGCTGTCAGCTGCTTGGACTATATAGCACTGATTGACAGGATGGCAGGAAATGATGTGGAGAGAAGTGGTCATGGCCTAATCTAAAGAACTATCCTGGAATTTTTTCTTGAGGGAATGAGAACCATGAAAACCTCCGTCAGGATAGCTGGTGTTCTGGTCAGGATTTGAACAGGTTGTTTCCCAAATACAAATTAGAAGCATTTCTGTTTGAAAGAAATTCCATGGATCATCCCTGTCCACATTTTCTCCCCTTCCAGCATCTACCTTATGTTCCTCTCTAACCATCATACCAATAAATGCTTTGGACTTGATGATGTAGGCCAGAGAGGGCTGGAAGCAGATACACAATTTGGGAGAGATGAGAAGTTTCAAGTACCATTATTTATACCTTGATGGGACTTGTTTCTGTGGTCTTAGTTTAACTGAGTAACCATATGAGAGGAAACAAATTGTTTGGAAATGGGGAATTTTTCATGTTTTCTCACCTCTCTGGCACTTTCTCTCATACCTACCACAAATTTAAGAGCACAATTGTGTAGCTGAATATCACAGAGATGTTTCAAACTGAAAGATATTTTTCATTCATCTGCAATTGGCAAAGAGAAAATTGTAACACTGAATTATGTAGCCCATGCAACAAGTGGTGACATGTACTTTGATTGACATTGTGAACCTAGATCAGTGCACTTGGATCAAACTAGGCATGCTGGAGGTTAGTGTGCTGAACAAATTTTCTGATGATGATTGTAGAACAGGGAGATAAATATTGTTTTCTATTGTTTGCAGCTGAGAAGTATCCCCACCTCACTACTTCTTCCCTTCACTTCTCCTCTCTATCATGAGAACATGTCCTCATTTGTTGCATGAGATCTACCATGACATTGCTTCATATATCTCATGATACTTGGCTTCTGTTATTTAAAAGCATTAGGTCTTTGGGTGTCCTCATCCTCCCTGGTCTAGCAGAGCAAAAACACAGCCCCTATACCACAAGCAGTGTGAAAGTGGAGTAGCTGAAACTGACAGTTCATGGGTGGAAGATGGGCTGGGATGACAAGAAATTTCAACAAGATCTTAGGTTACTGCATTCTTCTTCCAAACCTTTCAAGGAAAAACAAGTTAATTTACATAGCTATTATTCAAGTTGACAACCCACGGGTTTGTGGCATTTACTATTTACTTTCAGCCCCTTTATCTTACTACAAAGATTTCAACACTTTTCCCAGGGACATGTGAAATATTCTAATGTTAGAAGAATACATGAAGAAATATGAATATTCAACAAAAATATATCCAGTCACCAACATAATTTGCATTTAAATGCTTGAATGTTTAGACTGTAATTGACTGAAGTAAAAATATTACAAACCGTGAAACTTTTAACCACTGATATAATTAAGTAAAAAAATTAATATTTTTCTTCGTTTTGAATTACTGGGTACTCGATGGACACAGACATTTTGAGATTCTCTGTGATGCACTTAAATGTGTGATCATTGTTTGTTTCACATTACCTCATTTTAAAATTTGCATGCTGCAAAAAAGCAGGGGTGTAAAATTTTTGGGTCTATCAGGCACACAATTCTTATTTGAAAGATATAGGCATGAGTCATGCATGACATGAGGCCATTCTTATTATTACATAGGGATAGCTTTTGGAAGCAGGACTGAATAGCAGATAGTTCACAGAACACACACAGGCTTACTGAAAAAACTGACACTTTCACACCTCATAAGAGGTGTCAGAAATTAAATAGCCTAAAATTATGCTATAATCTTCTCGGGCAGTTGGACAAGTTAATGTTGAGTTAAGAGTGAGTGTTTCAGAGAACTTCTGTCTCCATCCTCAGGGTCAATCATGGCTGACTGCTCATGAGGATTTCACCACATCTATTTGCTGCAGTTCTTCATACCTTTCATAAGCTATAGTTAATTCATGTTTGACTTTATTGTTTTTAAAAGAAGTAATGGGACAGCATCCTAATGCTTGGAAAGGTTCTGGTGCACCATTCTGAAACACACTGGCTCAATTATAGTCCTGCAGACAGGATACATATCCCTACAACTCAGCCCTTGCTGTTTTTAACGTGAGACTCAAGTGATACCACTCCTTCCACACATATATATATTACTATATTAACCTAACACTGCATAATTTTCCACAAACAAATTTTAAAAATTACCATGGAAATATACAAATAAAATGAGGTACCTCTCCTCAGTCCCTTGACATACTCAGAACAGCTATATAAAATTAATTATAAATTCAAAATAATGCTTGAAATATATAAAAGAATTTTTATACATACAATATATAAATGATGAGTAAGTAAACTACAAATATTTCACATGCAATTTGGTGTGATCTTCCAGAGAAATAAAAGCTGCTGTTTTTAGGAAACATCTTTGATGGTATGTCATGCCTTGAGTGGTGCAGGTGTAGGTAATGGTTAGCAATTCACTGGGGATTTAGATCCACATGTTTTCCTCAATCGACAAATGTTCTGTGAAAGGGGAAATGGTTCTATAAGAATGAACCCATGTATGACACCATTCAAAAACATGAAACGATAAAACAGTATGTCTCCTTTATTTGTGGTAGGTGCAGAACAAGGAGAACTCTGGAATCATTGAGAGACAAATGGCAGTCAGGTTCACAGGGTAGAAATATTTAATCACACTGCATCAATTGCAGAGGATATTTGAAAGAGTAGAAAAGTTGATTATACTGGAAAAAGCATACAAATAAATGTGATTACAGACCAAATGTCTTCAAAATGACTGAATAAAACCACAAAAGCCTCATTCTGACCTGATATAGACTCAGAAGAAGTATGCTTTGATACAAGTGAGATATGTTATGAAGATTCTGAAAGTTGCAGAATGCAGAAAATATAGTTTCATGTAGGTGTTTTGCCTTTTGGCACACACTGATACAGAAAGCTGCAGAATCCTAGTAATGCATTGCTTTCTTAGAATTAGGTCTGTTAAAAGTAACTGATTAACTGGGCTTATTACAGAAGTAAATCTTTAGTACCAGTTATTATCTTTCATGATTTACCTGTTGAGGTGTTCAGTTTTATTTGAACTTTAAAAATGGAACTTTAAAATTAACACATGACATACACTTGCTTTAATTTCTGTGCCTGTGACCTCTTAATTTATTATGATTATGATTTGTAATCTCAAGACTTATCTTAAAATCAAGAACTCTTGTTTATTTTGTCTAACTTAAAAGTCAAACTTCATGCACCTTCAGATTTCAAACATTGCTGGCCCAGTGGGTAGCACCTGGTAAGGGCCCCTTCCCAGGGTAATGTGAGGTCAGATAGGGTTAATGAGCTATGGTAGGCAGCCTGCCTAAGGGAAGGATTAGCATCAAAGAAGATCAGTCATTATAGCCAAGATGAGAATCCTGGGCCCTCAAATATACAAAATAAGCATTATACTGCAATTGTTTGTAATTTTAATTTTACTCGTGGCCTTAGCATCGTGTTCATTTAACTTTGGAATTTTCTAGGCCAACAGTAACCAAGGCACTAAGATGGTTCTAGTGCTTACTCTCAAAATGCACAATACAGAAAACATGAACACTCTCTGATTTCCAATCTCACACTAGCTGCACTGCTAAAGGTCACTAATGTCAGTAGAACTATGGTCTACATGTAACTGTTAGGCTTCTGGCTTTTATATCACTACACTCAAAATACTTTCATATTTTATTTGTACAAACAATGATTTAAGTACATGAAACCGCTAACCCATATTGCATATTTGTTATATGAGCTTGAAATAATACAAAAATATAATACAACACCAGGGCTAATAAGCAGTATAAGTTTTTTCCTACTGCAAAAGAGATGTAGGAAAAACCAGAACTACCATAAATACTGATTTCAAACTGGTGATATTTATTGTGTTGGCAGTATAATGGCTCATCACAAAGAGTTTATGAAGAAAACAGGATGTTCTTGAGAAGTGTCGCAACATGTGCTGCCCATACAGAGGCTTGGCAATCAAGGAAAATAATAAGCAGAAGATACTTCCTAGTACAGTGGGGACTATCTTCATGTGAAACCCACTCTGCATTTAAATTTTCTATTTTGTTTTTTATTAAGTCTCTCCCTTGACAAAAAGATGAACTTTCATTTCTCCGGACAGAGCATATCGCATTTTAGATTAACTGTCCCACTGAAAGAAGCAATGAGACAAGATTAATCTCAGCTGCTCGTTGTTTCGTGATATAGACAGCAATCCACACCCTTTCTGATCATAAAGGAACTAAAGAAGTACTGATGAATTCATAAATTTCGTTGATAAACATAACAACACCAGAGAAGAAAATGAAGAACCACATTGGGAGAATGAGCTCTAATAAAATTCTCCATGCAGAACAAATTATGAAATATTATTGACTCATAAGAAGAGCTTATGAAGATGTGCAAAAAGACAGGAGTAGTGCTCTTTGTTAGAACCGAGTGTGCAATAATGTCGAACATAAACTGTGTACTCGTAAGATAAAGACCTAGAATGATGACTATGTCCAAGTCACTTATTAGTAACGAGATGCAGGCAGTATTTCAGAGAGACATGACATTATCTCACAAATATTATCTAAGGTCATGTTGTGCTTGGTAGGTACACATGTCTGACAAGATTTTGAAGCCATATGATAACAGTGACTGCATATTACAACAGATTACAAACATTTCATTCTGAACAATATCAGTTACCACATTCGTTCTGAAGCGCTTCTGACAACAACCTAAGAGCCACTTTATATTTACAAGTTTAAGGTGAAAATTGCAAAATAACGATGGAATTACCTGAAATATAATCAGCAGTCAAAATGTGAGAAGTCTTTACCAGAGCCTCATATGTTTAAATATGTCACCAGTATAAGTGACAATGAGGCACTTAATAACATATGAACAAGGCTCATATCTTACCTCACTTCTTCAGCTTGACTTTCACCCAAATTATGAAAAGATTCAAGAGACATAAAGATCATTTCCTTTGTACATATTCTGTTCATGTCACTGAATGATATCTACATGCAGTCAGAAATTATTTTAGAACAGATACAACACAACTGTTTGAGACCAAAGTTATGTTCAAGTTTCAGACCATTAAGAATAAATACATCATCACTGCTGAAGACATTGCACCTGAAGACACCTAACATATTCATTATACACATCCATAGTGAAGAGTGGGTTGTTATATATTTACATGAGAAATATCGAGATTCTAAGATGATTATATAATAATGACAGGGATGTCAAATGATTGAAAATTCATACCTATAACAACTTCTCCATACCAGTATGTTCTAGTCTGTGATTTTATTCTCAACCTTCAGTAGCCTGAATTATTTTATAACTCTCATATATGGTACAGAGTTAGATCAATCAGACAGACACATCAGACATCGGCTGACATCCCTAAATACTAATGATAATGCATTGTTGAGTCCCTACCACAGGAAGTGAACTTGTGTTGCAGGGACTACATCTCTGCATAGATTATTGGCAGGTACATACTGCCTTGAGCTTACATGAGGGTTAGGAAGATATACAAGTATATGTACAAGTCTACCGTTATCATGCTGTGTTATTTCATGCGGTTTATAACCAAGTCTGTCACTACTTGGAGTCCTTTCTGGTACGGGGAATCAGTTAATGAGCTGGCTTGTCGGACTGCCTCAATGCAATGTTTTCGGGCCAGAAACTGGGTCTGTTCCAAACCCTGTGATTTATGGACCAGTTCAAATGCTCGTTCAACATCTCCTGGTTCTTGAAATCTCCGCATTATCATTGGGTTCAATTCAGGATACTGAAACAGGCATGTAATTTGATATCATGTTAATCCCAGGAAGACTTTAATGTATCTGCCTTATACCATGATCTTCAATTTGATGATAATGAAAGCGTACTTGGCATAAAAAATGTTCACATCAGTCTTTCCACCTCACCATATTCAGAAACTTTACTGGAAAGATGATACACATAATGAAGCACTGTGGACAATATCAGCTGTTCTTTCCTCTGTGTGGAAGTTGAAGATCACAGGCAAAGGACTGTATCAGAACAAGAATGTGATTTCCACATGGTGCATTGCAAACCCAAACATGTGATATGTATTGTAATGAATAGCAGTTCTTATATGGCTTATAAATATTTCAAGTACTAGCGAAGTGCGTTGTGAAGTGGGTTACTTTGTAGCAAGCAGATGATCCTTAGAAGACACCTGTATGTCACATCATCTCTTCCCCTTCATTATATGTCTACTTTTCACTCCAAAAAGCATATGAACAACATTACAAGTGAATTTTAAATGTACTACTTACTTAAGGTTCGGCCACACAGAGCGCTACATACGCAATGCACACTACGTACATTATGTTCGCTATACGAACAGAAAAATATCTCCCTTTATTGCCAATGTGACTGGCCACACAGACTTCCGTACACTACGTATGCTATGTTCCCTGTGTTAGCTGCGTCGCAAAGTGTACACAGTGTATGTAGTGTATGCAGCAAACATAGCGTAGCGCTCTGTGTGGCCGAACCTTTACAATGGTGAAACCATCATCGTCTATTGAGAAAAAATTCATCAATTGAGATTTAAGTTTATGGTTCATTGTTTTATTGTATCCCATTTGTATGATGAAATATGGGGAGCCACGTGCTTTTAAACTTAACAGTTGTCTGAAAATGAATGGGGGTAGTTGTTTAGGTGCCTTACCCGTTCACAAGCAAACAGAACAGGAGCAGTAGCAAGTCCAAGCTTGAGGTCAGCAGCTGTTGGTTTCCCCATGGCAGCTGATGATGACACAAAATCTAGGAGGTCATCCACCAGCTGGAAGGCAAGCCCCACATTTCGACCATACTGGAATGCCACCTCTGATAGTGACTCATCTGCTCCTGCCAGCATTGCTGTCTGCAACACAGGACAGTCTTGAGTGGAAAATCTGGCCACTCTACTGGCAATATTTGCCTATTTTACCTTTCTAATTTAGGCACAATAGATCACTGTGGTCGCGGTGCAAGGGCCAAGAAGGCCCACCCCTTATACATTCATACCTTTCTAATTTCAACTGCAAACATTGTTACAGTCTGTAGGAAGAGAAATATCAGTGGACAAAGTCCCCCACTCCTTCGATCTGTGAACTTTACTTCTCCACCAAACATTTCTGTTCTGATAGACAGTATTATCATTCGGTCATCCCATAACCAGACTGGAAGGAGTAAACGAAATAAAGAATTTCTGCTTGATGTATTGACCATATTGATACGAAGCCATCTTGTGTTACACGCTATTTCATAATGTCATAATTATCTAAATCTCTTGTATAGTTTGTGCCTTGTAACTTTAGCTGCGCGGAAAGGTAAACGCTGTCATGGAGCATGCGAAGCTGTACGCTTGCTGTGGTGACGTTCAGAGCTACTCCCTGAGCGGAAAACATTAGCTGTTACTTCCCTGGCCTCACTATGAATTGTTCTGTGCGATTGTCGGTGTGCCATGATAGTGATACAAACACCACGTAATACAGTCATTATGACTAGTACCAACTAACATGCAACACAACGTACTATACACCTGACCACACTCCAAACTGGTAGTACCCATGCTGACGTAAGCTGATAAGACCGCCCCCCAGCTCCACGAGAGATGGTATGACCCCTCTAACATGGCTAGAGTTCCGAGGAATTAACAGTAGTAGAAGTCAAAGGTTCAACACAGCTAATACCAAAGCCAACCATTCAAAATACTATGAACCAGTCTACTCACTTTCCAGCTTGACAACCTAGTTCCGTAGATCTGTGCTAGAGTTAGCCCCACATTTCTTGTGTATGACTTCCAAGAGGTGTCTCCACCAAAGCTACATGTATGCACCTTTATTTCACCTCTCCATAACAAAAATACATGGCCTGCTGAAATCACAAACTTGTATAGTGTTCTTCGTTGCCATTGACAACAAGTTCATCCAGATTTGCTTCAGCTTTGCATGTTCATGAGACTGGTTAGACTAATTGCAAGGTGTTTAGGTGAAACCTATAGTGAAATCCATATACATAAGTATTTTTCTGATCCATTTGCTATTCAGAATGGTCTAATATAAGGATATGGTTTAGTCCATTGCTTTTCAATTTCACTTCACAATATGCCCTTAAGAAGGTCAAAGAAAATCGGGAAGGATTAGAATTCAATGGGTCACATCAGAAAATCTGACTCTAGTGATATTGAGACATGTAACTCTTATCAACAGCTTACAAAATTTATCCAGCATTCTTCTCTTAAGATTAATTGCATGTGAAGATGAAATTTTTGTTGGTGATCAGAGTGGATTTCAACACAACAGATCAACTATTTACTGAATATTCCACATCATTAGATACCAAGGAAAACGCAGGATAATCATTTTATATATAGATTTAAATAAACATACAGTTAGATTAGAAGGGAAATACTGTACAATATTTTCATTCAATTCTCTATATCCATGAAACCTAGCTAATTTAAATTCGTTTAAATGAGGCCAATGGTGAAGTCCATGTAAGTAATTTTAATAAAGTTTTCAGATTATATCCACCGCATAAAACAAAATGGTAGCAATATCTTGTTTGGTATTTTATTCCACGAAACAAAACATTATCAGGTGGCTGGTTAATAACACAGAATTATAGTGATTATAACTATCCTATGATAGATAAATTGATGTTATCTAGTCTCGGATCCATCACTAAATTTACAATGTTGATATATTATGTGATCATGTACATAGCGTTATACTGCCAATTAGGATGTACCGCAGCTTTGATCATACCCCGCAAGCATATCCTTTGCTCCATTATGTATTACGTATATCATAGGTCTCTACTACTGTACAGCTACTTTTGATTTGTTACTGTAGCACCAAAACATTTGAAATTTGTCGCCTTGGCCACATTTTGAGAGCCATTTATTGAGTTGTGGGAATACACTTCCATGCCAGCAGAACCATGTACATACTGCCTTCATAGAATTGGCGATTAGGCTTGCAGTCTTGCGGTATGTCTTGGTGAGGTAGTGAGCAAACCGCTCGTTTTCTGTCTCTTTTGAGCCAAGCTGCATAAACTCCCCTTGTATCAGGTCCGTCACCACCTGCAACGGATCATACAGAAAACGAACATTTATACGTGTAGCCACTGTTTTCTCTGTTTATAATAAAGCAGAGAAATAAAAGTATTCCAGAAAAATATCATAAAATTAAACGAGAAAATGATTTCATTTTATGTATATCAAGTAGGTATACATAGGTAGGCTTACTGGCGAGGACGAATTTGTCTGTTCGAAGATTTCATCCCAGAAACTACCCAATGGCTTTCAGTAAAATATGGCTTTAGGGTCCGCTCTAGGAACTGTTAAAACACATCATTTTTTGTTTGAAGTTCAAATTAACTTTATCGTTTTTATAAAACATAAAGCTTCATTGTACCAAAGGTGCATGATATACAGAATTCATTAAGTTCTGAAAAGTTTATTTGATTTCTGCGATATGTGCGAGCAATTAAAGAAGTGAAATGGGAACAGCGTCTGGCTTACCGTAATACGATTTAATTTTGCGAAGTAAATAAGCGGTAGATATACATAAGCATGGTGCAAATGAAAAAGATCATGACAAAATGGGATAAAAGTCAATGAACATGAAAGAGTAATTCCGTATTTATGAACACATTAAACCCTGAGAAATTATGGGCGAACAGAAATTACGTGAACACGATGAATTGTTCGAAATAATGGCGCAGTTAAATTCAGGTGGAAGGATATACAATATTACCAACAAGTAATTTATAAGAAACTAAATATATATGTTTTCAAATACAAAAAATTTGTTTGTTATATTCAGAAAATTATAAATGTAACATTTTAAACAAAAAAAAATTGTTACATTAGAAGAATGAATCCATGAAGCTCCTGAATAAAATGGAAGGATCTGAACATGATTCGTTTTGCGTGTACAGCTCGAAAAAGAAAAAGGCCCGAAGAAATTACGCGTGAGCGAAATTCTTAAATTTGGGTCTCAGAATTTCTAAAAGACAATAATTTAAATAAAACAATATAATACTATTAATAAGGTAAAAAGTATGCTGACATAAGTGGAATCACCATAAGCTAAGTTATCCCTGTAGCAGGCCATGGAAGCCCATAGGGTTGTGAGACGTCGAGACTCACACATTTTCTAGACAACCGGCTCACAGATGGGGGCGAGGTTGTCATCCTTACGGGCCGGCAGGTCGGCCTTTAGCCCCCAGGAAGATTCCTGGTACTCATTTCTATTAGAGGCTGAGTCGACCCCAGGGCCATAGTGCGGTTGGAAGGATTAGGTCTACTGAAAAATCCAATGACCTCATCGGGAATCGAACCCGTGACTTTCCGGCTTGTAGCATAATGCCTCAACCAACTACGCTACCGCATGCGCCCAACTTGAATCACCATAGGAAGGTTTAATAAAATTACAGATTTATAATTGAAATCTCAGTTCTTAGTAAATGATGATTGTCAGAAGATTGTAGCATGTTTTGTCGTTTACGTGTAGGCCTATTTCAGTTTGAGCTATATCATCTTTGGCGTTCAGCCGTGTCAGTGATCGACACAGATGATGGAGATTGTGTAGATCTCTTGATACTTTGGGATTTACCTCAGCAGTGACATGGCTGATCGCCCGAGAAGATTGTAGTACAGTTATTCGCCGTGAAAGCTTAAGATCTTACTAATTCTATGGTTTTCATCTTACTCGAAAAAACCCCATGAAGATGTGTTATAGACTTTCGATAGTATTTGGGCAAATATACGGATATTAAAAACAGACCTAATATTTAAACAGTTATATTTGACGTTTATCGATAAGTGGTTCTAGTATGGAATAAAAAGGTAGGTCCACAGATGTCAGTTAAAAAAAATAAAAAAATGTTTACTGCATACGTTCCATCAGTAGTTAGTTGAGGCACTATGCTACAAGCCGTAAGGTCGCAGGTTCGAGTACCGAAGAGGTGGATTTTTTCAATTGACCTAATCCTTCCAGCAGCACTGTGGCCCTGGGGGTCGACTTAGCCTCTTACAGAAATGAGTACCAGGAATCTTCCTCGGGGTAAAGGGCGGCCGGCGTGTAAGGCTGACAAACTTGCCGCCATCTGTGAGCCGATTATCTAGAGAAAATGTGGGAGCCTCGACGTCTCACAACCCTATAGGCCTCCTTGGCTTGTTACAGAGATAGCTTTAACTTTTACCTCTATCAGTTATAAGGTGAAATTATCTTTGCGCTTAATTAAATGCCAGACCATGAAGATACACGAAACCCCTGCGCTAAAAAATCAAACATACTTGGAAATTGACCCCTTAATCATAAATTTTATATACCTTTTTGGCGTGAGGTAAAACACATGTTTAATGTCATCCCAGATTTTGATGGGGATGTGAACTTGCGATATCTCACGTAGATCATTTGATCCTACAGACGCTGTTCATCGCGATTACCATTTATGTGCAATATTCTGATTCATTCAAATATGACACTTCTATCAGACCCCTTGTGAAGCGACGTATAGGAGTGCCTGTCTAAAGGCGCGGCCTGCACACAAACAGAATAAACACACGTGGGCACACATGTGTACCTGGCTCAGAGTTATTGTGACGTCATCATCCTGCAGTCGCGAGATCATCATGCAGGCTACCGCCAGGATGAAGTCGCCAGCCATCGCTACCTGTAACAGGAAGAGAACAGGGTTCTGTCATTTTCCGTAAGGGTTACCATGGTTACGCGCTGATGAAAGTATGGAATCAAGAAACGATGTGCTGAGCATGCAGGTTGGATGGGAAGAAAACAAGTACATACAGCCTTCGGACATTGAAACTTGACGTAAAAGGATTACTTGGAAGACCAGGAAGGAGAAGAGGGTATATTAGGATGGATCATAAAAGACTAGTTTGTGAGGAGGATCGTGCCCAAAAGTGGGCGTTATTAAAGTATAAAACGTTAGAGATCTACAAACAAAATCCACTGAGAAGGGTCTTTTTAGAGGCCGATAATAGCTGAGATTGTCAAGAAATTGCCATCTTTTGCGAAACTCATAGGTTCATTACCGTATTCACAACAGCCAGACACTGAATCTTTCCTGAGACAGGTGAACGAAACTGACACCTCCATATGCCATTTTTTTTTATTGCTAGTGGGGTGGGACTAAGTCCCTTGTACTGCGGCCACTTCTGGCCTATTGTACCAGCCCCAGATGATAGGTGAGGGTGATTGTGCAGCAATTGGTGGAATGAAGATTGGTAGGGAAGCTGAAGTACTCGGAGAAAACCTGCCCCAGCGCCACTTTGTCCACCACAAATCCCACTTGACCAGACCCGGGATCGAACCTGGGCCGCCGCGGTGGGAAGCTAGCGACTAACCGCTTGAGCTATGGCGCGGCCGATATGCCATTTTAAATCAACATGAAATGAATCAGTTGTTTTAATCATCAACAATATACATCCTGTAAACTATTGTCGATCGCAGCAACGAACCGCTGGAAACGCCTGTGGCAGACTACCCGCATCACCGCAGTGACGGAGAAGTTGTCACATCAGCCAGTCAAGCTGCCAATCTGCCGAGCTGCGCTATAAGGAACCAGAGCGGTTTATATACAGTCCTATGCATCCTGGCAAGCATATCGGACTGGACATCCAAAAACTTTAATTTTACATTTATCCTTTACTTACTGGAGAATTTCTAGCTCTACATTCAAATGTGTCCGTATTTGAAATGAACGCGACGTGCGGTGTGATGGAAACCAAGGAGGAGATGAGAAATGCTTACATTTTAGCTAGAAAAACTGAAGGAGAGAGGCCATTTCGGAGTAGTTTTTAAAACTGATCTCGAAGTGATAGATTGTGAAAGCTTGGACTGGATTCACCTAGCTCAAGATAAGGTCCAGTGGCTAATTTTTCTGCATATGGCAATTTATTCGTCATTTAATTTTACATTTTGTATCTGCAAGATACCGATGGGCCTACAGCTATTATCGAAATCAACTGACATCTGTAGGAAATATTGATTTATTTTTCGAATTCGAAGGAGAATTTTCAAGATCACATTCAGTGATGTTTATTGAAAGAGACGGTGCCTGATGTGATAGATACGTGTCCTTATAAATTAAATTCTAACTATGAAGAAAGCAGTCTTCTGGGATTTGGCACCGTGTATATGTGGTGTTAACCGACGTTTCGGAGGAACGTATCGCCTCCATCTTCAAGGTAGAAGAAAAAATATAAGAATTCTGCNACAAGTCGGCTGTACAGAATGATGTTCATAAACTACTGATATTTTGCAGTCTCAAATCCTGGATGTATTTATTTATACTGTCATGTGTATGGAGTGTAATTATAGACGGGTTTTGGGTATATGACCGGATTTATTGGACTCTGTGATACAAGGCATGACTACATTTTACAGTTCACGCTCTCAGACACAGGTGTCCACAGCCACGTCTTCACTGTCGTTGCTTGGTAGCGGCTTCAACGGCGGACGTTCCCTTACTCTGGTTCCCCGAACTATCCCCATGCCTCATCTATCAGCTTCTAACCAGCCCACACCGAATGAATCCCGGCAGTGCTGTAGCTAACTGCAACTCAAGTCGAAGTTTGTTACTACCGACGGTCAGTCGGCCAGTCTATCTTGGTGTCAAGCCCCATCTGGAGTCCAAGACCAGATTTTTATTGCTGTTGCGGATTTGTTGATGTGGGACACCCTCTCTGACGAGAGGATGGGTCTATCGCTTACTATTGCTGCTGGGTCCTCGCCAGCGCAGTCATTCACGGGTCCGAGTCTAGCGGATCTCATGACCATTTTTACTGCCTCAGATTCGAGATTCCCCCAACCTGGAGGGCCAGGTCACCGTATTTACAGCCTCCAGGAAAAAAGTGGTCCAGTTATACCCCCGGACACTGGGTTCTCTTTCCATTGCCTCCTACGATTCGCAGGGCTACGGTGGAGGTATTCGAATCCGCCTGCACACGTGCCTAACTGCATCTGGCAACTGGCCCTGCTTATAACATCTCACCACGGACCGCGTAGATAACATCTCATTATTGTTGTATTCTCTTGTTGCCGTGGAAATATGCTTGATTGCGAACCCGTTAATTAGCAATGGCTGTAGTACGATTGATTATTTCGCGGCCGTTGGCTAGCAACGCGTCTACATGCCACAATATAGTTGTGATTTAGTTAACGACGTTTTCAAAAGCTCAGATTATATGATGTCGAATGATAGGACGATCAGAGAACAACGAATTCGAAAGGGTTAAGGACGTGTCCTGCTATTTCCCTGGTGGGACTGAGAAATCAACGAAGAAACTCATTCAGGACAGCCTGCCAGCAAGAGTGCTCACCATTTTGCCCAGGACGGTCAGTTCCTGGATGTGGTGATGTTGGCAACGTAGAGAAAAGTAGCAAGGGAAGTGGAAGTGATGTCACGGCATTCACTGAGCTGAGGGACTGAGGGAAAACTGAAGAGGATCTGCAGTGGTTTATAAATCTGTTACCACACCACTCGGCTTTTAATGAAGAGTTACGATGGGGGAAGCTAAGGAATTCTTGCCCTCAGGACTTTGGCAGGTAGAAAGTCAGACCCACTCAACACACTCGCTGGCTTCATGGATAAGTCACACCCTAACAGTTCCAAACTCGAAAATACAACAGAACGTCCTCTCTAAGGGTATAAGTAACTCGTGCTTTGCTTCTGAGACTACGTCAGCAAGTTCATTAACAAGCAAGTTTCTAGTACCACGATGCACAAGCGCGCGTGTTACCCTGAGATGTTTTGAACGAATGAAACCATCTTCACGCAACTTCGTATGAACATCATGCAACCGGGTGTAATGCCGTTTTATTTCTGTTAGTCGTTTACCACCGATAGTAACAACACAGCAGAAATTTTTCGGTATTATTAGGCGCTAGCTTCTTTGGTAGATATATGAGCATGGTAAAGACATATATCATAAACAGACTTAAAAATTTATTTTTGCGCTTGTGTGTTAAAAATTACAAATATGGCGATAGAGAAATTCTTTGAGGTTATGTCCAATACTTTTCAGACAGCATATATTTGTATTACAGGAAATTACGAGCAGTTACAAATCAATAAGTTGTGTAAATATTGATTCACATTATTCACTAAACTTCATATAGAGATGAGAGAATTTAAATAAAAAAAGCGCAATTACTGCCTTCTATAACTTCTCATTACATCTGTTCGAGTTTTCTTTCAGGTACCAACGTGACAACAATCGTGTAGCCCAAGTAATGCTCAACTTATCCTATAAATGTACGTTATACAAATAAAGCTACATTCATGTATGTAGAATTTATTTATTGGGAGCCGGGATAGCGCAGTCGGTATAGCTACTGGATACGGGTTGGACGACAGAGGGGTCGGAGTTCAAGTCTCTGTAGGGTCAAGAATTTTCTCTTCTCCACGTCGTCCAGGCCGGCTCTGGGGTCCACCCAACCTCCTATCCAATGGGTACTGGTGGCTGTTTCCCCGGAACTAAAGTGGCTGGGGCGCGAAGCTGACCACTGACCTCCAACTAGTGTCGAGGTCAAGAAAATTTTGGATTTATACATTCACTTCCCCATACGCCTTCATGGCGTAGTGCTTAATTAGTTAAGCACAGGGACAACTTTACCCTTTCTACCGTTAGTATTTATTTGTTATTATATGTTTAACGAAAATTTAAATATTTCGGATTATATGGCGTAAAATGAACAATGAACTGAAATGGATGCAGTCGTAGCCTAATTTAAGTTACTGTCGCTGAATGAAAAATCTTGAGAATGCACTGAGGACAGCCTCGGTCCGACTGATTTGAACCTGGGACCTCCAGAATATGAAAGAGCACCGCCCCCTCGAGTGTAACATTCAGTAATCGTGAAAGAAGGTAAAGCTATCCCTGTAACAAGCCATGGAGGCCTATAGGGTTGTGAGACGTCGAGGCTCCCACATTTTCTCCAGACAATCGGCTTACAGATGGCGGTGAGTTTGTCAGCCTTATGCGCCGGCCCCCCTTTACTCCCAGGAGGATGCCTGGTACTCATTTCTGTTAGAGGCTGAGTCGGCTCCAGGATCATAATGTGGCTGGAAGGATTAGGCCAACTGAAATATCCAATGACCTCATTGGGAATCGAACCCGCTACTTTCCGGCTTGTAGCATTGAGCCTCAACAGACTACGCTACCGCGTGCCCCTTCGGTAATAGTACATAACATATAAACCTATAAGTACAATATGTTACACAGATATTATCGGAACGATGAGAAAGTTTTACCGTAATTATGTAGACTTGCAGCATTCTCATAGTGACGACATGTTGCTTCTTCTCAATTCAGTATAAACTCATTTCTGAAGTTCTGCTTAAGATCCCTGCAGCATGTAAGCGACTGTATCTCTTTGTTTAATGGCACTGCCAACTACTTCGACACAAGATTTACAAACACACTCATGAATGACAGGTTGAATCATCAAATTATGGACGCAGACATTTGGGATACGTCGTAAGTCGTAACTCTTGAACAAAAATGATTGGAGCTGCAGACATGGCTTTCTCCTAACTGCATGAAGATGAACCAGAGAACTTCATTTCGCAGGAGGATGGGGTTCCCCCTCATTTTTATCAAGACGTTCTTCCGCATGTGTGCAACGGACTGGGTAATCGTGGGGACTTCA